AAGGTTGACTCAGCCTTCCATCCTTCCGAGGTGGGTAAAATGAGGACCCAGATTGTTGGGGGCGATATGCTGACTCTGTAAACCGCTTAGAGAGGGCTGAAAGCCCTATGAAGCGGTATATAAGTCTAACTGCTATTGCTATTGCTATTAAATTCGAAATGCCCTTTTGTCATCCCTGATTCACTGATGAGATTTTTAAGTTATTTTCTGCTCATAATATAATGAAGCAAATGGGATTTTCTGTTTTCCTAATTAAAAAAAAATAAATAAATGGCATATTCCTCAGCTCACCCATCCATTTCTGTTGTTTTTGTATATTTTATGTTGCCTACTTTATCGCCATCCCCACCTTGGGACTCCTCCTCCACACCATTACCTTGCAGTGATTCCTTCTGGGAGAGGTGGAAACCTGAACAGCTACAGAGTTCCCTTATTGCTGATGGCAGTCAGTGTCCAGTCCCAGGTCAGTGGATGTTGAAGGAAGCCGGTGGGGGGGCCATCCTCCTTTCTCACCTAACTCTACTTGAATCTGAAGGCTATCTTTTGGCTCAGAGTTGTAGGAATTCGTGAGGATTCGACAATGGCCAACATTTTCAGCATTACACCTCAGATCTGCTGCACCATCTCCACAGCCTTCCACTGTGGTAGAATTGTTCCTTGAATAAAAGGGGGGTTATTTTCAATGCCTTACAATTTGCTAATCTCGGTGCTTCGTTTGTTTGTTCCATAGGCAATCTCTCAGGCATGGTTCTGAGCATTAGTTCCAGGGAAACGCACAGTGACCTGATTAGCTGATACAACTCAACCTATATTCAAGAATCTTCTACTCTGGGTCCCTTCTTTCCTCTCTGAAGAATTCACTGCTGGTGGGAAGGAGACTGTCTCAAAGAGACAACAGCCACGTGTTACTTGGAAAAAACGATAATATGCTTTGTGTTCATGGCTGCTGACCTCAGACTAAGATAGCAGATCTGTAGCCCTAGGCATGTGTGCAACCACTTTGTCTGTGTCTGGGTCCCTTGGCTTATTTATGTCCACGTAATCAAACTCATTTCAGACTTTGTTCACAATGGTGACATCAGGCTGCCATTCTTAAGGTAGGAGGGTTAGTTTTAAAATAGGCAAAACAGAAATGGGTGAATATTTTGCGATTTTTTTCCTAGTAAATCAGCAACTTGGATCTGTTATGGCACATTTTCAGAAGGGATGCATTGAAGAGGCAGGGTTATCAGTCATTGGCATAACTCTTCAGACCCACTGGAGATCTAGATAACATCTTCCTTCTGTTTCAGAATGTAAAAAATTGATGCCGATGTTGGAAAATGAGTAGAAGCTTTTTGTAATATATCACTAAAAGAAGCTTTCAGCTTCATTTTGCTCCCAAATCAGGTTCTTCCTAGTCTTGACACTCCCATTTTTCTGTCCACTAGACTGCCTGTTAGTTTGCAACCCACACCATTAAACATCCTGGGCTGCCTTACCTTTTCTTCAGTTTCCAGAACAGCAAGTGTAATTACTTTTTTAAATTTCAGTAGTCCTTTTTTTGTATCTTTTTACACTTTCTATTTTTATAGCTATAAAAGCATTCTTATCTCAGGATAACGCTGTCAAAGCAGCCTATTTCAAATTTGCTATTTTATTCTTTTTTCATTTTTCTACTTTGGGGCTGAACAAACTAAAAATATCACTGCCTTGGATGTGTTTGACAATCTGGTGAATCAAATTTGATTAATTCCATTTCAATAATTGCACTTTTTCAATTTCATCCTAAATATCATGCTTCATTTTTCAGACTGGAGCTAAGTGAAGTCTTAGGCAGGAAATAATTTCTGTTGTTATTTAGAAAACTGCACGTTTAATTGTGAATATGTTTGTTTCACCCCAGTAACTTTATGGAGCAAAGGTGCAGTCAGACTGGTGGTACTTGCTCAAAGAAGTCACGTATAGAAAACCAGCCACAAAATAGTCTATAAATACACACACAAGTGCACATTTAGAAAGTGTTTCCAAGTATCAATGAACGATCCTTACAAATCACCTGTGCTGCACTTATTGTATGTGTTACACGACTGTGTCTCCAATTAATTCTTTCCACCGAAGGCACTTTCCATTTTGTGTTGATGTATTTCATTCTCATGCATGCACAAAACCCACTACTGCAGTACTGTGTCAAGCACAATGCATTCAGGAACTGATCATTCCAGCAGATATAATGCTGCTGGAAATGAATGGCAACATTTATTTGCCACCTGCTCAGGATCTCTCTGTCTGTCTATGCAGCAGAGCTCCTAGTGGCCTGCACATTTTCTTATAAAAGAGCAACTCCCCCCCCCCGCCTTACCTGTACAGAGAATAAATGCAATTGAAAAAATATGGAAGTCTAAATGTTTAAAAGCAAAAAGGGGGGGGGGTGTTTCCTCATAAAATATTTTTATGCTTGGTATTAAGGGACAGAATTCATTTTACTATTTATGGTATTGCTGGCATTGAAATTTTTTTAAAAAGCCACAATTTTTGTGATGAAAAATTACTGGTCCACAATAATTTGGAAACATGTTTAAAAAGTAACCCTAGCAATGCAACAGGATGGGCAGATCGTAAATCTAGACTCCATGTTTTTACAAATCTATGAATGATCAGCAGTAAAAAGTACTGATCACATGAATGAACATCTAATTTTGTTATTTTCCTAAAGTGAAAACCTTGTTTTTAGCTCTGCTCTTTCACAACTGGAGTTAGAGTTAAATGACTACATTTCTTTGTTTGAAATGTTATTTTACTTTATTGCTGTTCAGCAAACTTAGAATATCCCAAAATTCACACTTTCTGTTTTCTTGTTTGAGATTATGTCCGTTTTAAGGTGGGGCACTACAGTACAGGATATTATTTGTGCTTACTATAGATAGAGCTATAACTTCTTACAAGCTTTACTGGAGGGAGCAGCTTCATCTACACAAATTACTCCTTTCATATTGCTAACTCTGACTGAAGCAGGTGTTATTTATGTCAATATCTTCTGGACCCTATGCATGTATTTTACTCCTACCATCCGGGCTCATTAAAAGGTCCCTGGTTTTAATGTTTCTCTAGCGGTGTTCCTCCTCTCCTTCTCCCAATAAAGAGATTTTTGTTTCTGCAAATAAAAAGACCAGCTTGGGCTCTAGCCACTGCAAAGAAATTTGCAGATCTTTTAATACAACACTGCTTTGCTCTGTAAAAATGCAATGGCAGTATTTTTAAGGCAACTTGCTTTCATTTTTGTTAGAAAAGCTGCTGGTTTACTACTGTGGTTGAGCCAACAAACAAATATTGGTAATTGCATCTCTACTCCTAAGAATGAATAGAAGCAATACTGGTCATAGGATTTTTTTATAGAATAAAAAGACTGGATTATTTAATATTTTCTAGCCTTAGATGCAGGTATCTCTTATATTGGCAGATTAGTTATTGAGATAAATGTTTGTTGCATCATTTGTAAGAAATTCACTTTGTACAGCATTTGTATAATTGAAATAGACTGATACAAAAGTTTTGTACAAAAGCAGATTTGGTTGCAAGAGTAGGATATTTTTGTGACACGGATAGTAGTGAGTCAAAAGTGGATTTGTCTTCAGAAGCAATAAATTTCACTGAATGCCAGCATTTTAAAATGTGGAGAAAAAAGACTGAATGGAAAGAACTTTTATTTTTTCCTGCTGGCTGTTTTCTCATGCAGTTCTTTCTCTGCTTAGCTATTTAGGTATATGTTTCATCCTGTCAAGAATGCTTTCCATTAAAGCTTTACATGGATATTACAAATGATGTTCTTTTGTGGGCCACACCTCAATATATAACATCTAGTTTACCTTTTATTAAAAGCCAATATAGATCTACAAACAGCAAGTTGCATCCTTGTATCCCAGAACAATTTTTTTTCCTTTGTTCCCAAGTCTGCAGAAGGATTACATCACAGATGTCACATAATGAAAATACACCACATCACACTGTACTAGATGGACAGACAGACAAACATTACATTTCCAGAGATAGTATATTTTTATCCACCCGTGCAACAGAAAGAGAATATGGACAAATAGATGAAAGTAAATGGATCTGGCTGTCACATCTCACCCCATTGATCACCAGGGTTGATTTGGCTGACCTGGCTGGCTGGGCAGATGTTCCCTTCCTCCCTCACTGCTCCATGTGTATCCCTCCTGAGCCTACAAACTTGGTAGAAGAGGATGACCATTCCAGAAAGAGTGATGATGAAAGCAAACGCCAGGCTATATGTTAAACTCCAAATTTCCTTTGGTGATGGGTGATAAAAGACTCTTGGAGGAGAGATATTTAAATGTCTCGTTGAAGTAAGGGGGTGGGGTGTAAATCAAGCTTAGTCAGAATTGATTAGATGGGATCCAGATTCCCATAGGAGATGGCCTTCCTTGACTTTCTGTGGTTTTCAGCTGTTCAATAGGATAGTGAAATTTTCAGCTGTTCAATAGGATAGTGAAATTTCTGAAAGTGAAGCATTGTCTTCCTTACCAGCCTCACTAAGCAAGTTTAAAGGAAGGTTATCTAGGCCACAAAGAAAACGGGTCTCTTCTGGGTGGACAATATGGCCCAGAAGCCTTTGAAATTTCAGAAGTGTTTCAGGAGGCTACCCAAAAAGTGGGTGAAAATTACTTTGGTGAAGTTCTGCCTTTTGTTGTTGAATTTTAATGGTAGGTTCTTGAAGTGATGTTAGGGGCTAATAATGAATATTTGAATAAAATGAAGTCAAAGATTGATGCTCTTTGCACCTATTTCTTTTTGGTTTGCTAGGATCAAGTGCGGGCATTGCATCCTCTAACCCAGTGGTAGTCAACCTGGTCCCTACAGCCCACTAGTGGGCGTTCCAGCTTTCATGGTGGGCGGTAGAGGTTATGTCCGATACTGAAGCACTTTCCTTTTTTAAAATTTAATTGACTTTTTTAAAAAAAATCATAGCATTATTTAAAAATATTTTCA